CGTATGAATCCTGAATAATTAAAACTAAAAATCTGAAGTTTGTATAGTTTTGTAGATTTTTCATTGATCGTTCGAATGCACAATTGATAATTGAAAACTTACTATAGTCATCTCAGAGAGTACCTTAGTTTTCAAAAAGATTTATTGAAAAGTCTTGGTATATACGATTCGATATGTCTTCATCTCCTCTATCAAAAGTTATTGAAAAAATTCCCACACAATTTTTTTTTTTAAAATGGACATTAGTCAGCTTCGCTCCTGTTGTATATACATTCTCCTAGTCTATTGAGATACACTTTAGTTCAAGCATAAGCACATGTAAAAATGGAAAAAAATCTTAGCATTAAAGCATGTTATTTTTAACTTTGATTAGCAAACTTTAGCTTCAACAATTTTACGAAAGTATTTTAAATCTACAATACTACTTTCAATCAATATTGATCAATACACAAAAAACTTGACTGTGGATCATCCAGGTCACAAACTTCCATCTGGGGTGGTTGGCAAATCTGAGAGATCGCCTCCTCCTTCCGAAATATTTTTCGATTTTTTTCAGTAAAAAGCGATCAAAAATGAGCCGATACGATCTCTAATGAACTTCAACACACGTTTTGTAACTGTCGATATAATCTGAAAAAGTCATATTCAATAAGAAAAAAAAAAACGTTTTTTTACTGAAAAATCACTATGTTTAAAGATGAAGTTAGTCTTCAATAAAAGTGTTTCTATGTCGAAAAAAAAATGAATTTTACCCTGAAAACCTATAGCTCAGTTGTACTAATTCACGCTATATCAGTATTATGAGTGGTAAGACATTCTGTGGAAAATTATGCAAACTTATTACATTGAACACATGTTTCCATAGACGCACTGGATGTTAAAAAAGAATGACTTTTTTCAAATCCCAAACAAATAAAATCGAAAATTTATTTTTTATGAATCCGTATAATGACAAACATCGTTTCAGATTATATGTAATCTTCTCAAGGATGTTTTCTCCTTATGTTTTTAGTTCAAAACAAAAAAAGGCTCCTAATCCTTACTAACAGCATTTTTCGACTGGATTTTCCGACTAATGCTAGTAAGAAGAACAAAAGCTTTTCTGTCATCCATAGGTCAGAGTATATATAACGGTATTTAAATCATTAGAAAATACACTTTCAATTTTCTACTCATTGCCTGTCGGAATATCTACAGTGTAATGGTTATTGTTACCACCGTATATCTTCGTATCGTATGCGGCAAAATATGACCGTATATGGACTTCATAAACGATCGTATTTCTCCGTATGTGATAAAAAGAAATATGATCGTAATACTGAACCATGTAATACGCCATTATACAATGAATAACAGTCGTCACGAGTGTGCTTATTTGGCCTGCGTAGATAAAAGATTAATACCGCAAATATAGATAAGACGAAATCTTTCTTATTGACGAATTTCAATTCGTAAGATAATCTAATCCTATTCAGATGATTAATAAAAACGCAAGTCTATCATCTATGAAAAGAAATCATGAGAAACTAGGACTATTTTTTCTTGTTTTAATTAGAGAGATTTTAAATCAGGAACTTTCACTCCTGAATTTATATCATAGTGTACGGTAAGTAGCACTATCTACGAACACAAGTATGAGTCCTCAGTTATTTTGTGCTGCGGAAACATTTAATTTATTCCTTATGAATAAAATATACAAAAAAAAAGAAACATATTAAACACTATCAATAAAGAAATGAATAAAAATTTTTTTTTAAAGATTATATTTTTTTTTAATTTCATCTCGTTTTTTCTTCTGTCGTTCTTCAACTTCAGCTTGAGTAGCATATTTTTTAGATAAAAGATTCATATTTGGTTCATAAGTTGTTGTTAATTCTTCAGTTTTTTTATGATTATCACCTATTTTGAATTTAAATTCAACTGTTTTAACATCTTCAATAGGTTCTATAGGTTGTTCTACTTTTGGTGATAGATGAAATGTTCGTTTTAATTTTGAACTGAATTTTTTCTGTTGTTTTCGTTCTTGTTCTTGTTGTATTTTAGTTAATTCATGATTTGGTTGACGTTGTTGTATCGATACTGTACAATGTTGACCAGCTAATATACATGCAAGAAGAACACCCAAAGCAATAGCTAATAAAATTAATAAAATAATCGCAAGAACCGTATACCATTCCATTATTTAATATATGTATATATATATATATATTCGATTGAATGTATCAAATAATGAACGAGACAGTAAATATTTCGTGTAGAAATATTAGTTACAAAATCAGGTGCTTGAATGAAAAAATGACGAACGAGAAGAAAAAAAAACAGAACAGAACAACGCAAATACTGTTCTATGTAATACATAAAATGACTGACTATTAGTTACTTTTGTAACGCAAGAATGTATAATGTATACCCCGGGATATACGATAAGCAGTGCGATGATTCAAGTGTACAGAAAGACATGCAAAATATGAAAGTTTATATTGTTGGTTCTTTTTTTCTTTTGTGAGAAGTAAATCATAGAAGCAATATTATATTCCTTTTACTCGTCAATATTCATAATAAAATGGTATTTATTATTTTTATTATTATTACTTTCATTGCCATATTCTCCTGAATAAATATTATTATTTTTTCTTTACAAAAAAAAAGTATTCGATTGAAAATACAAATAAAAAAAAAAAAGAAAAAAGATTCTATTTGAATATAACTAAAGATATCATAACAGCAATACATTGAACAATATTTGAAGTCATTAAAGTATCAATATTTTCTTCTAAATGTTTTTTTCGATCTTGTTTTCCAATATTTTCTATAGTTAATTGTTTTTGTGTCATGTTTTCTTCATCTTCTAATAATTTGATATAATTTTTTGATAAATCAACCATTTGTTTAATAATATTAATATTATGTTCATTATGTTGATTAAAATTTTCAATAGTTAAACCATTGATCCAAGATTTTTTATGTAAATTTAATAACATTTTTTGTTCTAATTCATTTTTTCGATAATTTATAATAATTGAATAATAATGACGATTAAGACCATGAATTAAAGCTTGTATAGATGGTTTTATTAAATGACCTAAATTTGATGTTATTTGTCGAGATTCTTGACCAAGGATAAATATTTGTGGTTGTATTAAACGAAATGCATCAATAACAACTTTACCTTTTACACTTTGAATTGGATCAATAACAACAGCCTAGAATATGAAAAAAAAAAAATTAAAAATCAAAACAAAAAAAATCTACTTACAACAGTACGTTCAGTTAAAGCTTCGAAACTTTGTTGAGTATTCATATCTACATCAGATAACCAACAACCAAAACCTGGATGTGAATGATACCAACCGACAACCATTTCAGGTCGACCTGTTCGTTTAAGCATATCAAGCATTTTAGTTTGAAAAATTGGATCAACAGCTTCAACACTAACACCAGTACCTGATTGTGGCATAGCAAAAACATCAATAACATGAACTGTATAATCATCAACAAATTCACCTAACATTAACCTAAACAATACGAAAAAAAGAAAAAAAAAAAGTTTTTTTTTCAAGCAAAAATCACGCATTAATTTAAAGATTTTTTACCCCATCACTTCCATTGGTACACCAGCTCGACCATGTTTAAGCGTTTTAAGTAATGATAATGATGATATATAAACTTGTTCAGCTGTATCAACCATCGGTGTATCACCAGGAGGATTACCATTTCGGGATAGTTGTTCCAAAAATGTACTTCTGAGAAGATGCGCCATTTGGCAGCTAAATTTTACCTATAAATGTTGCTTTTATATTTCCATGTTGACAGTATTAATCATGCATACATACGTACAATAGTTTGGATTCTTTATTCGCTTATTCTTCTAACCAATAAAATATAAGATCTATGAGATTTTTTTCATTAATAATAGCAAGTATTTATATTAAACATAATATTTTGAAAATAAGTTTTCTTATTAGAATATTGCAAAGAAAATAAGTAAATCTCATAAATATCATATTACTCTTATAGCTAGTAATAGTGTTCAACTAGAATTAATGCTATATGTGTGTCATTCAAATTTATTGAATTACTTGCAAGATTAAACTAAAATAAAAATGAATTATAAGAAATTCTATTTCATTTTTTAATAATTCAATTTCCAAGCGAGATATTTTGAATTTCTTTTTCTAGACATTCTAATGATAAATAGCTTACCCTATATGTATTATATAAACGCTAGAGACTAAAGTTATTTATCAGAGGTACTATATAATAGCTATTGATTTATGTCCTTCTTGTATGATTAAAACTATTAATGAAAGTGATGATCTGATGCCATTAAATATGAAGATTCAGTTTGTTAAGAGATATCACCTTTGATAAAAATATTAGGCTTTTCAATTATTATAGACAAGTATTAGATCTATTTGCTAATGTTATTCGAATAAGAATTGTACTGGAACTTAATTTTCATCGTCGAAATATTGATTTTATTGTAATAAGAGAACAAAGTGAAAGAGAATATAGTACACATGAACATGAAGTAAAAATGAATAAGAATAAAAATTTTTTATATTCTTTTGTTTTATCTATCTTAGTTCGTATATGATGTTGTCGCATCTTCTTAAAATAACAATCTACGAAAACATTCGACATATAGCTAAATTTGCATTTGATTTTTCTATAAAATTTTGATCGAAAAAACATTATTGCTGTAGATAAAGCAAATATAATGTTTGTTTTATAATTATTGTATTGTTAATATTTCTTTTGTCTATGTTAAAGAAATTTGTTGATGATCTTTTTCTTAAATCATATCGTGAGAAAAAGTAGCGTTATATTCAAATATTCAATTAGATACAATGATTGTTGATAATAGATGTATGCAATTAGATATTTTCAAAACCACAACAATTTGATATACTTATTACACCAAATCTATATGGAAGTATTGTATCGAAATTTAGCAGCTGATTTAGTTGGTCGAATAGGAATAGTTCCAGAAGAATCTTATTCACATGATGTAATCTATCTTTGAATCAGTATGTATGAAAGCAAAAAAAAAATAGATTTATTTTTATGAAAAATATTTTTCTTATAAAATAATCATAAGCACTAGCAGTCTGAATATATTCAAGAATCGAATCATTTGAAAAGAGAATCATATATGTTTTCTTTTTCAATGTACGAAAAACGATTCATTTAGGTAAGATTGATTAGATCGAATGGGTCGAAATATCTTTCTGACTCTCTTTTCAAGATTTTCTCATATAGTCGAAGTATTTTATAGAATATGATTCATTGATCCTCATTTTACGTCCAGTGTTAAATTAATACTAACATTCTCCAATCATTGTAATACACAATCATTTGCGAATCTTAAGAAAAAATACTTAGGATATACAAAAAGTTTCGAGAGTCATATTATAACAAAGTACAGAATGCTGGAGAAAAAATCTTGTTCCTATCCCAGGCGGATCATTCCGGCCGTCGGAAACGGCGTCGTATCCGGCCTGAAACGACTATAAAACGGCGAATTACTGCAGTAATTTTGGCCTTATTTCGCCGCAATCCGTCATACCGTATTACGACCACCGTCTATCGCTAGAAAACGGCGGTCGTTTTTTTCCGGTTTTGCTTCCGTAATCTGGTATGACGGATTACGGTGCCGTTTATCGACGTTTTACATCGTTAATCGCCGTTTTATAGCCGTTTCAGGCCGTTTACGACGCCGTTTTATTGGACCTGGGATATATATGTCGTACTAATTGTGCTTGATATGTTGGTATTATAACAATATTAGTCAAGTGATACTATCATATAAAAAATTTCGGTTAAAACTATTCAACCTTACTTTTTAAATAAATAAGAAAAAAATTTGTTTCTATATTAGAGTGTGTACTGCACTTCACATTCAACTAAAATCAATTCATGATGAATTATATTCTGTTATTGGCGATGAAGCTATATTTTATAATAGTGTTGTCAAAAGGCCAAAATAAGTTCACGAAAAAGGTGAGAAGATATTGAAGATTAATCACGTATTGTGAACAACCTATAATGGAGGCAACATCTGATATGCATATCATAATGGTTTCCTCATAACAAAGTCAAATTACATGTGCATAAGCATGCTTCAAACTGCCTCGAATCTGAAGATATCAAACCTATTCGACAGCAATCAAATTCTCCAGATCTGGAGCTATGTGATTTGCAAGTATTTGATCTCATCAAACAGAACCTCATTGATCAAAACAACTCACAATTCTTGCACCGTACTGTAACCAAGGTCATTAACTCTATTAACCATGGTAACTAAAAAAAAAATAACTTTCGATAAACGACTTCAACGAGTTCAATTATGTGTAAATAATTGAGATGTGCGAGACCACGTTTTTTGGTTTTGGGTCTAGAAAAAACTATTCCAGAGCTTATTCGTATCACTTCTGAAGAAATCTTCAATGCTCGTTTGTTTTTGTTTATTTAGTTGACGACTAGGACTTTTGTGAAACATCGATTTTCGAAGAAAACAGTGAGTGTAACTTTTAAATTGAAGTTTTGGGACTTCCCATCCTTCTCCATATTACAGACCTTAGCAATCAGAATTAAAGGCACTAAACGACATCGATAACAAGGCTTCGAAGGTTCTAGAACTTTCTTTGAAATTTCAATAGCTTGAATACGTTTTTCAATATTCAAAAATGACGCAGTTTCTGATTTTCACGCAAATAAACGACTACATGATAAATATCAAGGATGATGCTAGAGTTCGTGTTCGCGAAGACCTATGAACACAGTTAAGATGTGTTTTCTTCTCTCTCTATTTATTCTTTGAGAAAACAAACGTTTATATGTGCACTTGAAAAACAAGGACAACATAGAAAAGAATACAAAGGTTAATCAAAGTCAAAGAAAAGCAATAGAAACGAAAATCATATCAAACGGGCGAAAAAAAAATTCTAAAAGTCTAACACGTAAGATTAGTATCATTGC